CTATTGGTGTTTGCGAAAACACCCGCGAAATTCCTTCTGCTTCATCCAAAACGGTTTCCTTGTTCTTGACAGCACTAGGAAAACTCGTCTACTGACAAGCGGTGCAATAGATCTTACCGTCATGTTAATTGCGAATTCGGGGATTTCCGTAGACTTTATTTCCAGTACATTGGTAGTTCACAAACTGAGCTGTTTGATTATTTTTTATTCCAGTCGCTCTTATCAAAAATAATCAACAAAAAGTATTCGGTTTGTACTAGCAAGCAGCTACTTAAATTGGAAAGGGCTAGCACTTTGGATACAGTACCATTCCAGCCGAGTGCGGTTTGTAATTCGTGGAAGTTGAAACTTCAAATATTTTTCTTTTGTATTTTCATAGTGTTCCAAGTATTCTGTTTGGACACAAATTTTCTCTAAGTCGTTTACAAGTGCTTCTGTGTTTTCTGTCTGTTTTAAAAATTTAACATTTTTTAGGGTGAATTATTCTTTCTGTTTAGAGAACGCTGTGAGCCTACCCTGATACAAATCTACTGAGTGCATCCACGCAGTTCACAAAATTGAGTATTTTGCAAATCTAGAAATAACCATTTCAATAACAATTAACATAGATAAAAGACATGCCTGTGAGCAGACTGAACCGGTGGGTGCTCCACCGACTGAGCTAACTAAGACAATCGACGGGGGCACAAACCTAAACCATAAGACTGAGGCGCCCTACATTTGTCCAATGAATTGGCGGTTGATAGGTGCCAATTTCGTTATGCTAATAGTTTGGGAACTGTTTCACAAGTANTATTTACTGTGAGTGCATTGCTGTTCTCAATGTTAAATATGTGACGGTCTTGCCCTCTTCTAATTAAGTGTCTCCACTCCTAGTTTGTTGACGAAAATGAATGGGAAATGAAGCCTCTGCGTCAGTCGTCATGAGTGTGACCATAAGAATCACATTGGAAAGATTGCTTTGCACTTTTGCTAGGTGAGATGCCACAGAGGCCCATTCGTAACTCCTCATAACGTGATCTGCTGCACGTTTTTTCTGAATCTGCGATTGGATTTGGGCTAAAACAGGAGTGATTGTTATGCTGGATAGAAGCGCCCTTGTATCCACCACCTTACTAATTCTGAAAGAAGAGCACCTCATGCACTGTAAGCGTCCACATAAAAGCAAGTTATTTACGATATATGTGTAGCCAAGTTTATGGGTTACTCAAAATGACTGCAAACCCAGTTATCAAGTTCTGTGCTTCTTGCGGCAGGAAGATGTGAACCTGAATTGGTGTCTGTGGTCCCTACTGTGCAGCGCTAAGGGTGATGAGACTGTCTACCACAGTGATGTCACAAGAAGACCGTACATATGAGTATATAGAGGTAATAATTTATTAGAATTTGTGCCCCTGTACGATGCTTGGAGCCGGCAGAGCTTATGGTAGCTGACTGCGTTAGATAGTAAAATCAGAGCGAACATTTAAACTTTAAGTTAAAACGTCAGAATCTCAGTGAACTGGGCATGAAAGGATAATAAGGCCTTGTCAATGGTTACGTGACTGATAACACAACCTTGCAAGCAAAATGCACCGATGTAGCTGAGACCCTTTTTTACATTTCTGATTTATCGACTTCAAATCTTTGCCGTCCATCTTGTGGTATAGCCAAACGGTTACCTAACTCAGCAAACAAAAACACTCGACCATACGTTGCAATCAGTGTCCTGTCAAGCCAGTGTGGTTAGTGCATATGTAGTTTGAAAATATGGAATATACTACTCATTAGTGAAAATCCTGACAGTCCGAATTAATGATTTCCTGATTATATTTGTACACGTTTCACTTCGATTGCAAAGTCATGATATATGTGCATTTGGCGGTATTACATCCTTATAAAATACGAAAATGTTTACAGATTTGAGGACCCTTCCCATCAAACATACTGAAATTTTATTATTATTGGTTTTGTGAATGTAGGTGAGAGCATTGCCACAACTTATGTTTCGCAAACGTGAGCATCGTGTTGACACTTCAAAATGAATACAAAAGCAGTCATTTTCAGCAACCCTGTACAATAAAAAATTTGGAGTTTCAATGTCTTTCGGAAAGTGATCGAATTGACACTTCTCATTCTACAACCGATATCCCATAATGCACTGAGGTCTTGCTGGTGCAATAGTAAATACGGAATTTTGTCTCCGATGTCACATTGTAGAATTTATATACCTTGCTTCAAGTTAAGGTTGGATTTGAAGAACAAAAACAAGGCGCATACTGACAGCAGAGCTTAAGGCAAATGAACACATCACTGATGGAGTTTGAACTCCTGTACAAAGAAAGGGTAGTTTTCTGGAGCATACTGAAATTTCCACTTTGAGCTGGAGCAGACTGAAAACCTCAGAAAAAATTACAGTTGCATGCGGCAGCAGTCTGGTTCAAAAGATT